GTATTTTTTTATTCCAAATACCTGAATAAAAAATTATATATGTAAATATATAAAAATTATATATATAACTATATATAATGTATATTTATGTATAATTATATATAAAATAGATAAGATTATATATTTAAGAACTATATATTATATTAATATATAATGTATATATTTATAAATATTTTAAATATATTTATATTTATAATTTGGCACTAAATAATGTCCCCAAGTCAAATCTGTTCAGTCCACAAGGATGAGGCCCTGAGCACCCTGGACTAGGAGGACATCCCTGCCCATGGTGGGGGTGTTGGATCTCTATGATCTTTGAGGTCCCTCCAATCCCAACCATCCTGTGATTTCTGTAATGATTTCTGTGACATCTGATAAGTGACCTTTTGTCTTTATCTCAGCCCAAGAGTTTTCTCATTCCTGACCTTCCAAACCTGTCTCCCATCCTGCTGTGGGGAGCAGTGAAGGAGCAGCTGGGCAGGGGTTTGGCTGCTTGCTGGGACCAGCACCCCAGTGTCCACTCTTCATCCAGGTGGGACCAACACACCAGTGTCCACTCTTCATCCAGGTGGGACCAACACACCAGTGTCCACTCTCCATCCCCAGCTGGGACCAACACACCAGTGTCCACTCTTCATCCAGGTGGGACCAACACACCAGTGTCCACTCTTCATCCAGGTGGGACCAACACACCAGTGTCCACTCCTCATCCCCAGGTGGGACCAGCACACCAGTGTCCACTCTCCATCCCCAGGTGGGTAAGTTTGCCTACATAAAAAAGGGTTTTTACCAGACTTTGCCAAATGTTGTATCGTCCTTTCTGCTTGTGTCTGCTCATTGTTGTGTCATCACCACCCCAGCCTGGGGTCCACCCTGAGTGTTTCTGTGGTCGCTTTGTTTGTTGTTTGGTTGGTTTTGTCTTGTTTAGTGTTTTTGTTGACCTTGGTTTTTGTTTTTTGTTTGGTTTTTTCATCCCTTTTTTTGGTTACAGTCTCAGCTGTAACACCTGACATGGTTTTAGATCTCAGGTCCCAGAGCTGAGCCATGAATACATCCAGCAGAAAGCCCTACACATCCTTCATTGGAGAATTAGGCTTTGAAATGTCAGCTGGGTTTAAATCATAGAATCACAGGTGCTTTGGGTTGGAAGGGACCTTAAAGGTCATCCTGTCCCACTCCCTGCCATGGGCAGGGACACTTTCCACTAGCCCAGGTTGCTCCAAGCCCCAGCCAACCTGGCCTAAGTCTCATGTGATTAAGATTTTGTTAATATCACATGCTGCAAGTTTTTCTGCCACCAAGGCTATTCATAAAAAAATCAGTTCTCTAAGAACTCTTTGTTAGGCACATACAGTTCTCTTTACCAACAAAGTGATCTCATATAGAAAATATTGCTCTTTAGCCTGTCTTTTTCCAAAATATAGAACAAAACATGCACACAATACACTCTTTACTTCTTGTAGCCTCACTGAGCAAATCCTCATTTTATATTGGATCTGTATCATCACCAGAATTTTGCCTTCCAATGTACTTGGAAAACAACTTTGCCCTATTGATTGCAGCTGTGGATTTTTCACTGTGGACCTTAAAGCCCTTTATCAATTTTCTGTTCCCTTAAGTGTCTGCTTTGCAGAGATTGTTGGGTATTCCCCCTCTGCCTCCTGCTATTCACAGCTTTTCCTTTTCCAATAGTTCAGCCCAAGCCAACTGGGAGGCGGGGGGGTCAAACAGCAGGAGCTCCTGTTGCTGGAAAGAAAAGAAGGGCCCTGAGGAAAGAGGAATGTGGGACAGGCAGATGGGACAGGACGGAGGGGGGTGGCTTGGCTTAGATACCTTGAGGGTCTGGGAGGAGAGGAAATGGATGGGTGCTGAGGAGATGAGATTGCTCTTGGCAGCATCACAGCCTTCAGAGTGAGGAGCTGCGACAGGCAGTGTCCAAAGGTGGTGATGTGTGGTCTCCCTGTGGTCTGCAGCTGTGCTGGGGCTGCTCTGGCCACAGCAGTTTATGGTATAAGTGACATGTTGCCACTTCACTGATCAAGGCAACACCGTCTGACTGCAGGGAAGGGAGGGGAAACACAGGGAACGGAGAAAGATGCTCAAGGTGCAAAAAAATTGGTGTTGGATACAAAGAGAGGAGACGGGAAAAGAGAAAACACTCGTAAAAAGGAAAAACATCCAAAGATTAAAGAATGTAAAGTGAAGGAAAAGCATTGTGATATGTGATGGAGGCTGGGAGGAAGCACAGGGCCAACAGGGGGGTCCTTCCCAACTTCTTCAAATTGAGAATAATTAAAGCACCCAGCCCAGAGCACCAAGGCTGACATAGCTCAAGGAGTTTTTGGATGATCCTCTCAGGCACAGGGCATGACAGGACCCCAGGGAATGGTCTGAAGTTGTGTCAGGGAAGGGTTAGGTTGGATCTCAGGAAAAGATCTTTCCCCCAGAGAGTAGTTGGGCACTGCCCAGGCTCCCCAGGGCAGTGGGCACAGCACCAAGGCTGGCAGAGCTCCAGGAGGGTTTGGATGATCCTCTGGGGCACAGGATGTGACTCTTGGGGATGGGCCTGTGCAGGGCTGAGGGTTGGACTGGATGATCCTTGTGGGTCCCTTCCAACTCACCGTGCTCTGAGATTCTGTGATTCTTAGTTTCTGTGATCCTGATGACAGAGTGAGGTAGGCAACTCCTGTACAATCCCCTCATTCCCACTGGGTTCCTGGTCCTTTCCCTGCCACACAAAGGAATTGTCTTTGCAGCCCATTGCAGAAGATCAAAAGCCAGAACCCAAAGCCAGGGGTTCTTAGAGCTCCAACCCACCATGATCCCCAAGGGAAAGATGAGGTTTAGGCTCTAAGGCCACCATTCTCCCCTGGTGTCTTCTCCTTCTTAGAATCACAGAATCCCAAACTAGTTTGCATTGGAAGGGACCTTAAAGCTCATCCAGTCCCACTCACTTCCCACTATCCCACGAGCCCAGGTTGTTCCAAGTCCCATCCAGCCCGGCCTTGGACACTTCCAGGGATGTTGCAGCCACAGCTGGGCAACCTGTGGGTAGGAAATCCTGCTTGGAATGTGGTGTTCCTGAAACTGAGACAGAAATTGGGACTTGCAACCAAAAGCTGTGGGTTAAAAGTTGTTTCAGCTGCACTTACTGGCTGCTGTGCCTGGTCCTGCACAGCTCCACAAAATGAGTTATACAAATAACACCTCCAACTCCTTCTTTTATGTTTTCAGACTGTTCATCCATAGCTTTAAGCATAAAAAGTGTGGAGGTGGTAAATGGAAAGGTACCCTTTCGTTCATGTAAAATCTGGATTCTTGTACATGTTGCTTCACTCTCCTTCCTCAGGTAGAAGATGCACCCCCGGGAACAAGTGACAGGACGAGAGAAGTGGCCCCAGGGGAGGTTCAAACAGGATTTTAGGAAAAATTTCTTCGTGGAAAGGGTGGTCAGGCACTGGCACAGGCTGCCCAGGGCAGTGATGGAGTCACCACCCCTGGAAGGGTTCAAAAAACATGTGGATGTGGCACTTGGGGCCATCCAGTGATGAACCTGGCAGTGCTGGGTTAGGGGGCCCATTGGGCTTTGCCAACCTCAGTGATTCCATGGTGCTGTGGATTCCAGAAGACAGCAAATACAAGGATAACAAACCTTCCAGGTGGGAAAACCACGCACAGAAAGCCACACCCTGTCCAGTGACAAGGGGGGTGTGCAGGGGCCTTGGGCTGCCTTTGTTTTTTTAGGTATTTAGTTCCCCAAGCCTTGTGAAGTTTGAAAAGTGTGACAAGGAAGAGATTTCTCCTAACAAAAGGTGCACCTGAAGGTGAGAAGGTGAAGAAAAACATATAAAGAACCTATAAAAGGGTCACCCAGTCTATAGAAAGAATAATACAAAAAGTAATTGTACTCTGCAAGGAGAACCCCTTTGTGTTGCTTATTTGGGGTATTTTTGTGGTGGTTTTGTTGGTTGGTTGGTTTTCGTTTTTTTTAGTGGTTTTTGTTGACCTTAGTTTTGTTTTTTATTTGGTTTTGTCCTTTTTACTTGTTTGTTTGTTTTGTTTTGTTGTTTTGTTTTGGGGTTTTTTGGTGGGGGTTTTTTGCTGCTTTTTTTTTTTTTTTTTTTTTTTTTTTTGTGTGTGTTTTTGTTTGGTCAAGGTTTTTTTGTTTGGTTTGCTTTGGGGTTTTTTTTGTTCAGAAAACAAGATTATGGCCTTGAAAGAACCTTCAGCCATTAAACCCAAAGCTGTGGAACTGTGAGAGGAGCTGCCAACCAGGTCCAAAAGGTATTTCCACATAGGTTTTAGTGTAGTTCCTGAGGCTGCTTTTTCAGTGGACTTTGCATCAGTCCCTCTGTTTGTACCAGCAGCAATTAATGAGAAGATTAGAAAGTTGCCCATTGGTGTCAGGAACACCAGTCCCAGAGAAACAGTCTAATTAAGAATCAAATAATACAACATTGACATAAACTCAGAGCAGCCTGATTGGGTCAAACCATCAGAGCTTTTGAAGGGAGAAATGTGTCTTGTTAACCTGGAAAACTTTAAAATGGGAGAGCAAGGTGACCTCAGTGCATGTCATTTACTTGGATTTTGAAAACACTTTATAAGGTCCCTCATTAAAGACTTAAGGAAATAAATAAGAGAAAGGGAAATGGTTCTTCATAACTGCATTAAAAGATACAAACCAGGGAAACACAAAGGAAGTTTTTTCCCAGAGGAGCAGAGGTGAGAAAGGGGTTTTCTCAGGGAGCCAGTGTTGTTTTTTATTGTTGTTAATTAAGTATTAAGAGCTATGTTAATTAAATTGTCAATGCCAAACATAAATTTAAAATATAGAAATTACCAGATTGTCTCTTTTAACAAGGCTCTGAACTGTCCATAAGTTTCAAATGGATTTTCTCTTCCATAAACACCCAAAGAAACTGCTCTTAAAACCACCAGCAGCAAAACTCCCCACCCAAACAAAGAAAAAAACAAGCAAAATTTTACCTGAAAAGGTGTAAGAACAAAGAGAACTTTATTTTTTTTTCCAGTGTGCCTTCCAGATCCAACAACCTGTCGATATTTTGGGCTGGAATCTCCTTGTTCAGGACATGCTGGGCTGGAATCTTCCTGTTCAGGAGAAGTCATGGCAGTCACTAAGTCTGATGTCCCCTTCTGCCTCCAGGAGTTTGGGAAATGAGGACTGTCCATGATTTCATGCTTTAAAAAGGTTTAAATACACACACAAATGTCCTTGGTGTTGCATTTTTTTCTTGGTTCAGAACGTTCAGAATATTGGGAAAAGAGGAAAGGAGAGATGTGGGATTATCTACACTGTAGTCACTCCCAAAGAAAAGCAGGACTCACTGAGGATCTGGTACACAAGTGTTTCCTTTTACCTTCACCAGAGATGGGGAGATGTTGAAGCACAGCTTTTATAAAAAAATGATGAAAGCCCAAGAGCCTGATTTATTTCAGGTGGGAATTCTCGGAGAAAAAAAAAAAAAAAACCAAAAACAAAACATCAAGAAGGATCCCAGAATGGTTTAGGTTGGAAGGGACCTTAAATCCCATCTGCTTTGACCCCCTGCCATGGGCAGAGACACGTAGAAAGCTGGGGAAAATCCTGCCCTGTTCTGAGCAAGAAGAGTCAGGAAAGACAAAAGCTCCCTAATTTTGTATCATGAAGCCAGACAATTGCAGTTAGTTTAGGAAATGGAAGCTGCCTTTCAGAGAGGAGGGATTGTTTCCAGGAAGATAAATGGACAGAAGGAGGCCTCGTTGCCTCAGACAGAGACCAACTCTGTGGACTGAGAAGATTTTTTGGGGAAGAACCTCTTCCCAGGTGGGTGGCAGAGGGTGGCAGAGGGTGGCAGAGCACTGCAACAGCTGCCCCAGGAGGGTGTGGAGGCTCCCTCTCTGAAGATATTCCAAACCCTCCTGGATGTCCCCTGCTCTGGGTGACCCTGCCTGGGCAGGGGGATTGGACTGGAGGATCTCCAGTGATTCCACCCAAACTATTCTGTGATTTGGGCCTCCAGCACAAGAGCCAATGCCCAGAAGTGACCCCAACACCCAATGACTACTAAAAGTGACAGAGATCTGGCATTTGGGGACAATGTGGGAAAGACCAAACTGTGAAGGACACTTTGAGCTGATCACATTCAGGACTCACAACCACCACGGTGCTGAGTCACAGAGTGGGGAAGGTGAGAAGAGACTGCAGTGGGGTCAGCTGGTCCAACCTCCCTGCTAAGAGGGGTCTTCCCAGAGCACATGGAACAGGATTGGGGCCCATGGAAGGGGGAAACAACCATGAAGGGCTCTGAGAAACCTCAGGGATGCTGGAAACCAGTGTGGATGGATGGATGGATGGATGGATGGATGGATGGATGGATGGATGGATGGATGGGTGGATGGATGGATGGATGGGTGGATGGATGGATGGATGGGTGGGTGGGTGGATGGATGGATGGATGGGTGGATGGATGGATGGGTGGGTGGATGGATGGATGGATGGATGGATGGATGGATGGATGGATGGATGGATGGGTGGATGGATGGATGGATGGATGGATGGATGGATGGGTGGATGGGTGGATGGATGGATGGATGGATGGATGGATGGGTGGATGGATGGATGGATGGATGGATGGATGGGTGGATGGATGGATGGATGGGTGGATGGGTGGATGGATGGATGGATGGGTGGATGGATGGATGGGTGGATGGATGGATGGATGGGTGGATGGGTGGATGGGTGGATGGATGGATGGGTGGATGGGTGGATGGATGAATGGGTGGATGGATGGATGGATGGATGGATGGATGGATGGATGGGTGGATGGATAGATGGATAGATGGAAGGAAGGTGGTGCTTTGTGTTAGCAAAGAGTGCAGAGAAGTGGAATGCTGTGGCAGGGGCAAAGCAGTGCCAGGAAGGAGGGTTGGGAGGGGAACAAAGTCTCACCAGCCTCCTCTGCACCCCCAGGTCCAGCCTAACCACGATTAGTCTCAGTACAATTATCAAATGAATGAGCACTGATGGGAATTATGGGAGACTTTAACCTCTCAAAAATGGATTGAAAGTATAATTACTGCTTATATTGGCTCAGATATTTTAAGTGATGTATTTCTTTGCAAAAGGGAGTGGAACACTTGCTTTAAACCTCACTCCTCGATGGGTATAAATGTAGTAAAATTTGAATAAAGTGCAATCCTGAGCCAACTTTTCTCACTTTAAATTTCAAAATGGGCAAAAGTAGGTCTAGAAAGAAGGTTTGGAAGCTTAGAAAGGCAAACTTTGAAATCTAAGGAAATGAATTATTGAGTCTGACTAAGCAGCTCTGGGATCTCTGCGCAGAGAAGGCGCAGGTACTTAAAATTCAAAATTCAAAAGGGAGAGAGAGTGGTGAGAAGAGGCATTTTTGAGAGGCTACAAACTGAAAAGGAAACTCAGAATGAACAGAAACCTGCCTCACTCAGGAAATTAAAATTAATAATAGTAGATGGCACCTGAGCCACAGAAACCAAGGGGAGCAAAGAGAAGATTAGGACAGTTGCACACTTGAGGCAAAAATAGATCACAAGTTACCTGTCAGCAAGACTGAAAATCTTATTTACCACAATTAACAGCAGCAACAAGGGGATATCAAGGGCATTAACAGTGTAAATTAGGGTGGGGCATGAGGCAGGATGGCATCTGGGGAGAAGCCACTACTTAGGCTGATTGAAGTGAAAAATGAAATGCTGGTTTCTGTCTGAACCAACAGCATTGGCAAAACAGCAGATCAAGAGGGAAGATGGAAAATAATTATACAAAGCAGAGATAGTCCCCATAATTGGAGGGTGATAGATATAACACCTCTGTCACAAAGAGGGTGGAGGATATTCAGACAAGTGTAGGCTGTCAGTTGGATGGCCAAGTTATGGAACAAGGATAGATAAAACCAAGGAAGCAGGAGAAACTGATAAAGGCTAAGATAATTTACCATAGCTAAATTGTTTCTGGATAATTTGGCAGCATTTCCTGGTAGCATCAGTGCTGCCATGCATAGGATATACATGGACTAAATCCATCTCACTTCCTGTGAGATTCTAATAAATTACCCATGGATTTGGGCTCTGGAGCTGAAACTGAATAAAAGGAGTCTGCAAGTTTTCACTCTGAGGAGAAAATTCCCAGAAAAGGAGTCCTTACCTCTGGTGGTGCTCAGAGATAGTTCTGAAAGCAACAGAACATGGACCCCTGGGGAAATGTGGGATCTCTGGAGAGAAAACCTCCTGCTGCATCAGAGCTGCCTGCAAAGGGAGGTTTGTTTAGTGGCAAAAGACTAAAAATTCTGTATGAGCTTCACGACTGAAATGTGACACAAAACTGGGAGGTGCCACCCAGCCTGACAGAAGAACTGGATTTTTCTCTTGATCGGAACAGTTCAGGTGAGGAGACATTTGATAACACAAAGCAGACTCATATCCTTACAGAGTCTCAGCCAAGGCTGCCATTTTTGGTGCTTGCTGTGAGACAGGGGCCCAGGAGTTAAGGAATGAAAATGGGTGAACTGCAGGCACAAGGAGGGTGGAAAAGTTTTAAGCATTTACAGGTTGCATATGGCTTTTTATTTTTTTCCACTAAGAATACACTGGGCAGACCAGACCTGACACTCATGTGAGACATTATACAGTTGTAGAATCCCAGAATGGTTTGGGTTGGAGGGACCTTAAAGCTCATCTCCTTAAAGTTCCACCTCCTGCCATGGGCAGGGACACCCTCCACCAGAGCAGCTTGTTCTGTCACGTGTGTTCATCATGACTTTAGGGGGAGATGCTCCTGTGAGACAGGGAAGGTGTGTCCTGTGTGAGGATCAACAGGAACTGGGGCTGGGAGATGGGTCTGTAAGGATGGCTGAAGGTGGACCATGAGCCAGTTTGGACTGGAAATGAGCAAGAACTTGCCATTTCAAGAGGAAAGTGCACCGTAGGTCTGAAGTCAGCACTCACCTAAAATCCAGTGGCCGACTTGTACCTCACACAAACCACAGCAGTGGCAAACACTTTGGGGTCCAGAGACATGGAGAAGCATCTGAGGGTGTTCTGGCAGACAAGTCAGTCAAGGACATGGGTATCTTGGACCACAGTCTTCATTTCTGTGGCTAAAATGTTATCACATCATTGGCCAAGAAGGCCAAGGGCATCCTGGCTTGTACCAGGCAGAGTGTGGCCACAGGACCAGGGCAGTGACTGTCCCCTGTGCTGGGCACTGCTGAGGTACCTCAAATCCTGAGGTCCCCTCTGGGCCTCTCATGGCAAGAAGGACCTGGAGGGGCTGGAGTGTGTGCAGGGAAGGGAATGGAGCTGGGGAAGGGTCTGGAGCACCTGGAGTGGCTGAGGGAGTTGGGGAAGGGTGGGAACACGAGGAATGTCTGAGGGAGCTGGCGGGGCTCAGCTTGGAGAAAAGGAGGTTCAGGAGGGACCTTCTCACTCTCTTCAACCCCCTGACAGGAGGGGGGAGCCAGGGGGGGTCGGGCTCTGCTCCCAGGGAACAAGGGACAGGAGGAGAGGGAACGGCCTCCAACTGTGCCAGGGGAAGGTCAGGTTGGATATTGGGGAAAATTCCTTCCTGGAAAGGGTGATCAGGCCTTGGCATGGGCTGCCCAGAGCAGTGGTGGAGTCCCCATCCCTGGAGGTGTTCAAAGGCTGTGCTGATGTGTCACTTGGGAACATGGATTATTGTTGAACATGATGGTTCTGGGTTAATAGTTGGACTTGCTGATCTCAGAGGGTTTTTCCAACCTTAATGATCCTGTGATTAAGTTCCTCCTTTAGGGAAGCTGACAGAAATCCTGAAATCACCATGTCTTGTGGGATGGAGACGGTTTGATTGCCCCAGTCCATCTGCATCTCTCATCCTCCTGCCTAACCTGCCTTGTGTGGAACAATCAGTGCCTTTTCCATGGCTCAGCTGTCACCTGTGACACACGTGATGCCAGGGAAGCAGAGCTGTGGGTGAAGCTGCTGACAGGGCTGGTATGAAAAACATTAGTATTGATACTGGGGCATTTTCTGAAGCTTTTAACATTCACCATCCCAGTAAGACTGGTTCTGGAGCTGTTTTCTGCTCAACCCACCCACGTAGAGAAAACCTTCTTGAGCCACATTTGGTGTCATGAAGCAGCAGCAAATGTTTGACTGAAAATGCTCACAACAATGGAGAGGCATTTTATCTCCTAGGAAAAGGTGCAAGGTGGTTAAGTCATTATCAAATCTTTAATGTAAAAAATGCTTTAGATAGAAGGAAACTGGCAAAAATGGGAAAATTGCTCTTTATCAAGATTGTGAAATGCTTTCTGTTAACTGGATCCAACATATGTTCCTTGTTCTACAAAATCTATCAGATTTTAGGGAAGATTTCTAAAGCTAATAAAACAATTTTTGAAATATTCACCCTTTGCTCATTTGCATTTGCTTACAGAAAACTGTGTCTACTGTAAAGACAGCAAAGCAGTAATTATTTAAATTAGTTTGATAGATGTTTAGTAATGCTTTGATTAAAATATCAATTTTAGATACCAGTAGGTTTGTGAAAAGCAGAGCGTTTAAATGATAATGAATTTTTCTTCAAGGAATGGTTTCACTTTGTGCAAATGATTTGGAATGAAAAGCCCTTTTCATGTAAAAATTTCAGGCACTCAAACAATGGAGCCAGAGCAGAGCTGAGGTCAGTGTGGTGACCCAGATGGATCATTATGAGACAGAAAAGGGGCATCTTTGTCAGATGAAATGTGGATGAATCCCCCTCCACAAGAGAACAGTTTTATTATGTGGGTGATGCCCAAGTAGCTCAAACTTGCCTGAAAAATTGTCAGTCCTGTAAGACTGACAGAAGCTTGGTCGGGGTGAAGCTGGAGGTCGTGGGCTTTTCAAGGCCAGGTTGGATGGGGCTTGGAGCAAACTGGGATAGTGGAAGGTGTCCCTGCCTGTGGAAGGGGGTGGAATGTGATAGGTTTTGAGGTCCCTTCCAACCAAACCAGTTTGAGATTCTGTGATTCTAAAAGGCAAAGCCAAACTAAGACAACCATGTGAGCAACCGAGCCCAACACCAGCCCCAGGGCTCCTCATTTCAGCCCTGGAATCACAGGGCAGCAATTTGTGGCTGTCCCCAGCCTGTTTCTCTACCTCTAGTCATTTATCACTCCTAATAAATATTCATCTAATCTTTACATTAAAATATTCTCCCTGGTGACTCTGACCTAAATCCTGTTTTGCAAATGAAACTCAGTAGTTTCTGGTCTATCTATAATGGGTATGGAAGCAAAACCATTCCCTCCTTCTTCTCACAAGTCCCCTAAATCAGCTGTTCTTCTGGATAAACACCTCAAATCTGTTTTTCCCCCTCAGAGTTCTCTATCCAGTTGGTCTTCCTCTCTCCCAAAACGTAGCTCTTTAAAATGGCAATACTATTCCCACTGTGATCCTGCCCTTCCCAAGTACAACAAAATGATTGCTTCACATGCTAAAGAAAGGGAATTTAGATATGTGCCCAGAGCAGCTGTGGCTGCCCCATCCCTGGAAGTGTCCAAGGCCAGGCTGGACGGGGCTTGGAGCAACCTGGGCTAGTGGAAGGTGTCCCTGCCCATGGCAGGGGTTGACTGGATGATCTTTAGGGCTTCTCCAAATGAAATCATCTTGGGATTCTAAGATTCTATGAGATGTCAGTGCTCCACCACCATCACAAATGGCATCACAGAAAGGAATAAGAGATTAATCACTAGTGTTTCTCAGAGATCAACTCCCACTGAGTTGTTTTATTTTTTTTTCCTGGTGAGCTTTGCCTTCTCCAGAAAGATCTGTGGAGATGTCTCCTCGTGTGACTGAGGGCACAGTGTCTTTTACTGCAGTTGTTGTTTGAAAGAGGCAAAGAGGCTTTAACAGGCTCATTATCACAGCTAAGGAGAGGGAAGAGAGTACAGCTGCTGGTGTTGGAACAGACAACAGATCTCTTCTTGACCTTCAGCCCCCTTCACCCCTTTGCCCTTTGTCCCTGGAAAACTCCCCAGCCCATCGTGCCATGGTGTGAATCAGCACCTTCCTCTGGAGCTCTCCAATTAAGATTCAGCAGCGCTTGGAGAGCAGCAGTCGGCCCGCACTGGACTAATTAATTTTTCCTGCCTGAGTAATTACAGTCCAGAGGTGACCATGAAAGCCAAGCAAATCAATTTGTGTTTTACTGAGATCCTCATCAGTCACGGAGCACTAACCAGAAGAAAAAAAAAATGACCAGGGACAGAGCCTGAAAAACAACTGACAAAGGTTGCTCTGAAACTGCTGAACAGACATTCAGCTGGAGATGGCAAACACAGTCCTCAAAATCCTTCTTTTGGTGGTTTTTTTTGGCCCAATCACTCAGCTGCTTGAACATTTAAACTTCATCTCCCTCGCTGGCACTCACATCCACTGCAACTGGTTCGTATTCCAGCCAAAAACCCTTCAGAGCTCAGTTTACAAAGATGAGCAGGATCATTTTGCAAATGTCTCGGCAAGTGTTGGGAGTGACTTTGCCACTTTCCAAACAGAGACAATCTGCTGCTCTGCTGCACCAGGGTGGTACCGTCAGCACCCCAACCTTCCTCCAGGAAAAACCTTCCCCAGTGTGCCAGGGATGCAAACAGGCAGCTGTCTCCACACAGCACTTGTTGACACTCTCAGGAAATGTCTCAGCCTCAACAGAGAGAATCCCAGAGAAATATTGTCTCCTGAAATCCAAATTTTCTTCCTCCCCCTGATTTTCTTCCTTCCCCCCCCCCCCAGGGTTCGTTCAATCCCAGATGAAGCAGCAAGTGGTTTTTGCTGGTGGTATGATGGAGAAAGTAAAGTTTTCCCTACCCTGCAAAGAACTGGGACAGATGGTTCTCCCAGACGTGGGAGTGAGGATTTGTGGGCAGGAGCTGTCTCACCTGGAAGGGTGGAGGTGGAATGGATCTCACTGTGGAAGTGCCATGGCACTGTGACCTTTGAGGTCCCTTCCAACCCAAACCATTCTAGGATTCTATACGATTCCATGATTCTTCTGCCCAAGTCAAACTGGGTGGAGCAGTCCTGTGGGGCACACGAGTCCCAAAGTCACTCAGAAACGTCCATTCAAACTGAGTCCTCGTGGCCAGCCGTTGGAATGACAGTCCTGCACCACCATGTGTTTGGGCTGTCCTGCAGTCTGTCTCAGCAGCCTCATCCCTTGATGGCATCAGGGAGGGAATAACACCAACCCAGGTAGGGAGAGTCATTGTGGAAGTCAAATATTCCAG